GCTTTACATAGCTTTGTTTCGTCCATAAAAGACAAAAAATAATTGTAAATGAGTACACTATTAACTACTATCGACCTAGTTTTAAACGAGTTAGGAGGCGAACTGCTTCAGAGCCTTTCTGAAGAGGGCATGACAGGGTCGTCCCAGGTTGAGTGGCGAACAGATTAGTAGTAGAAAGACCAACATACCGGATATTCCCGTAATACGTCGTTTCGACACTTCCAAATTTATAGGTTTTTTTTAGGATGATACACAGCCTTAATGTAAAAGAGATTCACAAGCGTAATTTTATCAAATGTGCTTGCTGGGCTTCATTTTGTTGTTAACCCTTCAGAGTTCCAGTTCTCCTTGTTTTCCTTTGCTGTGTGTTGGTTGTGCCTTTTGTTGCGTTTTATCATATGGCCTGAAAAAAAGTGGGGGGCTGAAGTCAGTGGCTCAGCCTTTAAATTTATTTAAAACATTTGGTTTGCTTTGCACATACTTAAGCTAAAGGTAAATGTGACGCATAACATACATAATTTTGGAAACGTGCTTGAATGTTTCTAAAACATGGATTTGAGAATGGGTGCATAGTCATGCTCTTGACTTTTCAAGGCAACAAGGGAGCTTTATCATCATCAACACCTTATAGCACAAGTCTTGCACTGTCTAGAACTAATTTGTATATTGAAGCGGTTTTAGTAAAACTGAATTGTTATAATACAATGTACTGTGTATTTTTAAGTATCTTAATTCTATACGTCTATAGTCTAGTAACGTGAAGGGGAAAATATATACAGTGGGCACCCTCTCACAAATACATAGCCATGTGCACGTTAACAAAATAATGGGCAATTTAAAATTTCCACACATACACAAGAAAAGGCACACAAACAAATAATATTAAGACGTTCACGCATGATGCCCAAGGGAAAGAACAGAAATAATATTTACAATAGAAGGGAGATAACTCACTGATAATAAACGTAGTATGAAGAAGAAGAAGAAGAAGAAGAAGAAGAAGAAGAAGAAGAAGAAGAAGAAGAAGAAGAAGAAGAAGAAGAAGAAGAAGAAGAAGAAAATAAATATAATGATAACAACAATAACAACAACAATAATCATAATAATAATGATAATAATAATAATAATAATGGTAGTAATGAAGATAATAATAAAAAGAATAATGTTATACTTGTATTATTGTTACTGTTATCATTATTGCTTTTATTATTATACATTATAAGTAGTGGTAGCAGCAGTACTGAACTTTATTAATATCACCATCACCATCATCATCCTCTTCCTCCTCCTTATGACAGAGCTACAGGCAATATGTTCCCGCGAACGAGTGAGCTGCAGGCCATGTTCTACCAGAACAACCTCAAGTCGGGCCTCAACGGCTCCGCCTACGCCTTCACACAAGCCATCAAGGGCCTTACTCTCTGTGAGTCACATCATTTTGCTTGCAACAGCTTCTTCACCTTCGTCAGTCTGCGTTAAAGAAAATAGAGAAAATCTAGCTCGATTATATAGCTTGTAAAGGGCATAAAGCTTGCTGTTGAGCGGTAATATGCGTTATACTAAGTTTTAATGCTCTATTGTTATATCATTATTTGGCAATGCGCATGTGATTTAGAATGGGACTTCTACAGGCAAGAGACCGAACGTTCTTTTATAAAACCATGACCAAATACTAAAAAAGCGGTGTGTGTGTGTGTGTGTGTGTGTGTGTGT